CCATTGTGTAAATCCATGATTTTTCACCACCTGGAATACTGGTCAAGGGTCTATTAGAGCAGAAAAAGGGTCATGAAAAGGACGTTAATCACCCACTATATGGAATAACATATCTGTGTAGAAGATTGAATAGGGCTGTTCATTTCTAGACTGGAAGAGAGAGGACTTAATGGAGAAATTATGAAGTTGTCTGGAAGCACTGAACTAGGAGTCAGGATCAAAAGGAGGTTCTTCAGTGGCAGATCTGCTGGAATTCCAGAGGACTGTGTGGGTGCCAAAAGTTTACATGAACACAAGGAGTGTAATGAGCAAGGCCATATATGTGAGACCAGAGGTTACTGGTGAGAAAAAACCGTATTGTCCTTATGAAATATCCAGAGCTGAAAATAATTAATGAGTGGGAAAGTACTGGGAGAGAAGTGTTACAGTGGCTCTTCCTCTTGGGACACTTTTTGGAATATACTGATGGTTCTTCAGCACCTGCTTCTGCTTGAGGTCTAGGTGGTGTCTTGATCTGAATTGATAGAGCTGTTCTTATTTTTTTAATTAAAATATAAATAGCCAACTACTGCTGTCCTAAAACAATTCAAGGTATTCCCACTATGTGCTTTTTAATTTTTTTTCTTGTGGGAAATGGAGAATGTTGTCATTGCAGAGGCATGAACCAGAAAGGCAAAGGATCAGGCAGTATGAAAAACAACTTGTCATCCTTTCTCTCAGCATTCCCTACCCTGCAATTCCCGTGGAAAGGTGGCAGATGGGGGTCCAGGTGCCACAGAGCCAACACTCCAACACTAGCTGGGTGTTCCCAGCCAGACCTTTGCTCTGGACTCGTCTGGTGTTTCCCTTTCCCCACTCAACTCCTGCTGGCTCCTTTAAATCCCCTCTACCCCAGGGTGGACCCCAGAAAGCACAATCTGCTTATCCAAGCAGCTCCAGAGAAGTCAAGGTCATGAAGCCTGACCTGCAAACAGGGAGATGTGGCCATCACCAAGTCATTTTTACTATGAACACACAGCTTTTTAAAAATCAGTGATGTACTTGTGATTAGAGCAGCAAGTTCTAGATATCTGCTCTCATGTCTGGAAATGCCTACAGGCACTGCTGGTGCTCAGCTTTAGCTGGGACCAGAGCAGAGCCCTGTAGCCAGACTGTCCCAGCCATTTGGAAGGAGGAGAGAGGCATCTTCCTGCTTTGATTCCCTCTCTGCCAGGTGTTGTCCCGCTATCAGCACGGCCTGATACGGATAGTTCAGGGTTAAGAGGTTAATAGGGATGAAGTGGGTGCACTGGGCTATCTGGATCAGGTTAGCAGGGACACACTGGGTGCACTGGGCTATCTGGATCAGGTTAGCAGGGACACACTGGGTGCACTGGGCTATCTGGATCAGGTTAGTAGGGACACAGTGGGTGCACTGGGCTATCTGGATCAGGTTAGCAGGGACACAGTGGGTGCACTGGGCTATCTGGATCAGTGACTGCAAACAGGCACCTTCCACCAAACCTCAGGTGCACTGATGGCTCTGCCTTCAAGGGGAGGATCACAAAAACAAAGCCTCTGCTCACCAGCTGGTTCTGCCTTCACTTCCATCTCTAGAGCCTTCTTTTCAGCTGAAAGCAGATTTTTATCTCTGCCTCATCAAGATGTTTAAGGGGTGCAGCTGCCTGCCAGGCTTCTTAACCCTCTCTGCCTCCGTCCTTCAGACAGCTTCTCACCCCCACGTGACAAACAAATAATGAAAGCGTAAAGGTTGTAAATATTGTTTCTTGTAGTGCTCTTCCCAAGTGAGTACTTTCCTCTCCTATTTTATACCCAAACATAGTTTTATTCCTCCCAGCCCCAGCTGTCACAGCCAGAACTCCTCCAGAAGAGGCAACACCCTGCAGGACACAGCACAGTATCATCCCAGGTTTGGATGTAACTTTGGTCACATTAAAATTCAAAGGCTTTGTTTGAGGCTCTTTTTATTACCTGGTAGGGATATTACTTACTTTTGTGATTTATGACTCCAATATTCCTCCACATCTACAAAGCTTTCCGGAAGTTGTTCCCTATTTCCATTACAATGGGATGACTTGGGGCTTGCTTTGTGCTGACCCTTGTAGAAATTTCTTTATTAAGCAGGGCAATATGCTGCACACAGGTAACATTCCTGAGCTGGCAAACCAACAATGTTCCCACATTATATATTACAGCAGCTTTCTTTCCCCTGAGGAGCATTCCTGAAGTTTCTGTAGTATCCTACTGAAGTATAGAGTAGTTTCTTATGGTCTGTGTAAAACAGAGACTGGGCTGTTGTAACCATATTTTATTCCTTCCAAGAAATGGTCTTTTTAAAATTGTTTTGTGAGAAACCGCCAACAGCTTTTCCAAGCTGGTGAACCAAAAATAGGGCTTTAAGAGAAGGTTTTCTTTGCATATATTTCCTTTGAAAACAGTGGGATAGAATTTACCTCAAATGCTTTTTATACACACTCCTATGTAAAGCAGGATGTCTGTTTGGGTTTAATGCCTGAAGGAAGAGTGGAACTTCGTATACATGATGAGTATGTCTCCAGATTTCACAGTGGCTTAAAATGCTGAATTGTTGTAGGCCCTCACCCTAAAATGCACGTGTCCCACAGCCTATTGAACAGATCTGGTGAGCACTTTTTAATTTCACAGACAGAGTGAGTGGCCAGTGTAGAACAGGGCAGTCAGTGTTGCTCTATCACCTCAAAGGAGTTTTGCCCTAACATGGTCCTATAGAAACGATTTTTTGTTCTGTGTGACTGTACTGTGTGACCTTACGGCACAGTAAGCATGCAGGGGAAACAAACTGACAAAATAAAGAATCTTAAGGTTTATTATTAAGGATAATATTTATTACACAAGATTGTACAATTATGTGATTGCTACATTACCTTGCAGAACAAAGTTGTGTTCTCAGTTAGGGCTTGCCTGACGCTGCCAAAGGAACCCAAACCAAAATATGCTGGATTGAGAAACTGAGTTCACATCTTCTCTGCACAGTGAGATTTTGAATAAGTAACCCAAGCCCTCCTTTCTAGGTAAGTGCCATGTTGTATTCCATCTGTAATGACGAGGGACTTCTGACAGGGGCCTGGAGTGACAGGACAGGGAGAATGGCTTCCCACTGCCAGAGGGCAGGGTTCGATGGATATTGAGAAGAAATTCCTCTCTGTGAGGGTGGGGAGGCCCTGGCACAGGTTACCCAGAGAAGCTGTGGCTGCCCCATCCTTGGAAGTGTCCAAGGCCAGGTTGGACTGGGCTTGTAGAAACCTGGGCTAGTGGAAGGTGTCCCTGCCCATGGCAGGGGGTGGGCTTTAAGGTCCCTCCCAACCCAGACCAATCTGTGATTCTGGGACCAGTACTGTTCCTGAAGGTGGCCTGTGCTCTCCATGCAGTTGCAGGGATGCATTTAGAGAACATTCTCCTTTCCCAGGCAGAGTTTGCTGCACGGGGGCCGAGGCAGCGGCTCCTGCAGATGTGAAGGGCTCTGTGGGGAAGTTCATCGCCTCCTGTGAAAAGTATTTAAGTCATTTAACTGAGTAGCAGACAACTAAGAATTTACACTCCCTCCACACACGCTGTAAACAGATAATAACAAAGGGCTTCACTGAATGCAGTAGTGCTTTATTTTTCTCTAATTTTTGCATTAGAGGTGCTGTTGCCAGAAGCTCGGGACCGTGGCCGGTATGGGGGGCAGGTGACTGTGCTGCAGCCGCAGCCCGGGACCCGCGGCGGCCCCGCTCGGGTCCCATGTGCTGTGTCCTATGTGCTGTGTCCCGTGTGCCGTGTCCC